AGACATGTAAGACTCATATATTAGTTAAGGTAGTAGAAGTAGTACGCACGAAAGTTAAAGTTTACTTAGTTACCTACTGAGGCGAGATATATACTAGAAAGAACGAAATAGCACTCTCTCTCTCTCTCTCTCTCTCTCTCTCTCAAAAGATAAGAATGAGTTTGAATGTGAACCTTCGCTTTCTATTCTCTATTTTTTTGGTCCTCCTGTTCTTATTCTTTTCCTTCAAGTGGTTCTTTGCTCATGCGTAATGTGTGTATGCATGCGTGTGTGTGTGGTTGTTTGTGTGTTTGTGTTTTGGGGGGGCGGGGGTGCCTTGGTGCTTTTATTCTGCTAAAGATCAAAGAAAACATAGACAATGTTTAATATAATTACATACGGACACAAAAAAAGAAGAAGGAAAATACCAAATGAGCCAATTTTGGGCAAAAATTAGCCTAGGGGTCGGTCAACCGGGGTTTTTTTATTTTTTCCAAAATTGCCTCTCAATCTGAGGCTTTTAAATTTATTTATTTATTCATTAGTAGGGCAGTACCCTAGTGTGAGGGGCAATGCCCAGTCCAGAAGGCAGTCTGAGGTTGGCATCCTCGGACTGCCTTATTTCTTAGCAAACAAATGAGCTAATGCAGTCCGAGGATGCCAACCTCGGACCGCCTTGAAGAGCATCAGAGAAGGATGTCTGAGAATGGGCAGCTTGGACCTGCTTCTAAATGCTTAATAAAGTTAGTCCTTGCAGTTCGAGGATGCCAACCTCGGACCGCTTTGAAGAGCACCACAAAAGGCGGTCCGATGATGCTAACATTGGACGGACCGGGCACTGGCCCAAACATTAAGGCACAACCCTATTATCGAAAAAAATCAAAAAATAAAATAAAATAAAATGTGGTCCGAGGATGGTATCATCGGAATGAGGGGCAACTTTGGAAAAATTAAAAAACCTATGGTTGAACGACCTTATGCATAATTTTAACCCAAAATTGACTCATTATGTATTTTAGTATTTTTTTGTGTCCGTATGTAATTCACTCGTAATATAGATAAAACTGCATAAAAGTTATACATTGATGGAAGTTGATGCAGGTTCTAATTAAAGCAGTGGCGTCTTTTAATTTCAAGTATGTTGGGAATGTTCACAGCAATTCGAACTGATGTATGTTTGGATCGAAGTGATAATTTCTTGAGGAAGCAAGCATTCCTATAAATGCTATCTCTACTTCCGAGCAAACCTACATAAGAATGTCATCCTTTGTTGTACTACTTTAATATGTTTCATTTTGTAGTGAACTGTGGCCATAGGTTTCATTTTGTAGTGAACTGTGGCCAGGCAGCAAGGAGGCATCAATAGAAGTTACTGCTTCCCAGATTTCAGCCTCAATGCACCAAGGCCATCTTGTTGTAGAAGCAGTCGTGGCAATCACTAGAAAGACATAGAAAACCCGAGGTCAAGTGACAGTTATCTTTTGTTCCAAGAGGTCAATTGGAAATTGACAATCTGGACAGTTTGAGCCAATTGGAAATTGACAATCTAGACAGTTTGAGCTAATATTTTAAATCCTTCATGGTTCACAAGATAACTACTTCAATAAACATCAACAAAACATTCACCTGAAGTGAATTTGCAGACTCCAAGTACATGCATTTAGATCATGAAACTAAATGAACAAAATGAACAGAACACATACAAAAACAATGTTTTATGACAATACAAAGAAAAATAAATCCAAGGAATCCACACCTGACTGGGGATCTGGCGGCCATAGAAAGCAGAGGTGGTTGAAACACTAAGCCGGTAGTCCGGAAGTGTGTGCACATAAACTGAATAATGCCCTTCATGCCCTTGGAAAAATTTGTCCCAGAAAGGAGCAAGTGGCAAGGGTCCTCGTGTCAAAAACATGAATGCTACTTTAGGCACTCGCTTGTAAGGATACTCTCGCTTCTTGGGTACCATTGAAGCTCTCCAAAAGAGCTCTTCATCTGTCATACTATGCAACAATTTTTCAGGTTTAATGAAACCCTTCATGCTCAAACAACTTTCAATCTCTACTATTTCCTTAACACAATTTGGTGAATTTCGAGGCACTGGGAAAAACTCATTCTTCGTGGCAAAATAACGGGTAACATGGGCACTTGCCGCCAAGCCAAGGATAATGCCACATATGAAAACAAGAAAAAAGGAAACCACCTTCACGAGCCCCACTGACCAGTCCCTGAATAAGGCCTGCAACATCAAGGGGAAGTCTATTATAGCAACCGTGAGCCTGTCCGTCTCTTCTGCTTGAATTCTTAATGTAGCCTTCATCTCAGTAACATCGATCAAACAGTACCTCTATCTAGGGGGCCAAATTTTCATGACAGCTATATATCAACTTTTGGATCACTGTACAATTTTAAGGGCTCAAATAAATTTGAATTGACAACATTTGGTTCATCCCCTACCTTTTCAAGTACATCTCACATGCCATTATAGCATTATAAAACCCCGATAATTTTCAGAGATAATCAGAACCAAGAAGTAATTCCAAGAGATGACTAAACTTTCATTACCTAATCTCCGAGATATATGCTCAAATCAGCTAATTTCAAATATGATTTCAAACATGCAACAAACCACCAACATCTTGCTGCTTTTTTAACACCACATGCCAACTTAAATTGTCACATCCACATTCAGTAGCCACATAAAAAGATCAAGTAAAAAAGGTGATAAATATTTTGATATTTGTCGCAGTTAACCTTCGGGAAAGCAATTTCAGTAAATTAATACAGTGAACCACTTTATGAGATCCTTCTTGCTCCAAATATAATCTCTAGTATCTCATCACAAAATTAAAGCATGAAAGATCACTCTATATTTTCCAGTATCATGTCCCTCAAGTTCCAGTTTCACCCAAGGACCCAAGAAATCAAAGGTCAGATCAAAGCCTGCAGCCTAAAAATTCATCAGCCTAGATTACATTGTTTCTTGTATCAGAACCTAAACATTATAGTCCTTCAAATGGAACCCTCTATACAGTAGAATTGATCCAGTTTCAAATTCCATAACAAAATGAACCTGAAATAAAAATATAAAAATTGTTCATTCTAATACACAGAAAACCAAAAAGTTTAATCTAAAAGTACAGTGAAAACCGTGCTACTTGTAGTATTGAAATTCCAATATTCAAATTCCTTTTTCTATGTAACCAGCAACCCCCCCCCCCGCCCCAACCCACCCAAAAATAATAAAAAACTGACTCTGATTTATGTTTAGACTACAACACATCAAAAGTAACCCCAGAAAACCAATATCTCAACAAAAAAAAATGTAACAAAAAATAATAATAATTATGCAACAAAAACAGAGTATTTTGAGATAAAAAGTAATTAAACCCTAAAATGGATTTCCAAACATTATATAGCAAAACCTTATTGGTAAAACAAAAGAAAAAGAAAAAAAACCTCAATTTTTCATTCGCACATTCACAAGCACCATAGCCAGAAAGACAAAAGAATTTGGGATTAAACCCAAAGATTATGAATTATAATACACAGAAATGGGAGAAGCTATCAAAAACTGAAGATTGATAACTGTTAGGAAAATGATGAAATCTAGCTGTAAAACAATTCTCTGGACGAGAAATGAAGTTCAACCTAATATCTTAAGGTAGAAGGAATCATAGACAGGTAGACAAAGATAGAGGATTGAGAAATAAAGAGAGAGGAGGATACACTGAAAAGTACAGAAGATTCAATGTTAAAAGCTTTGGAACATGAAATAAACTGGGAAGATAAATTAACTATGAAGAAAAAGGAATTATCATAACCATCAGGCAGAATTTCATAGAAAATGTAGAGAGAGAGAGAGAGGAAAATGGGACATTAATTATGAAGACAAGCGATGATCTTAAACTTAATCGATCAATCCAGAATCTCACGGAAAATGAAGAGAGAGCGAGAAATAAGAAAATAAACTCTGCAAGAAACATAATTCGTTGATTATGAAAATAGATGAAGCTTACCTGATATCTTACTATCCTAGAAATAAAGAGAGAGAAGAGAGAGAGACCACAAATGTATAGAGAGAGGCGTCGAAACGCAACAATAAAGTGAGAGGTCAAACAGATTGATTTGATTAAGAAATGACAGGATACTCATCACACATGTCACGATCCCGGAGAGAGAGAGAGAGAGAGAGAGAAAAGATAGAGAAAGAGATCTGCAAAGTGGAGAGAGAGGAAAGAGAAACTAAAAACATGAATCCTAACATGCAATGCATTTACTTAAGTTACAACGGAAATGGATTGAGACATTTACTTGAGTTACAACGGAAATGAAGAGAGAGAGAGACCTGAAATTCGTATTCAATGGGGAACACAGAGAGACCTGAAGTGCGTTTCAATGACAGAGACCTGAAATCCGTGTGGAGAGAGAGACCTGAAATCCGCGATGGAGATAGACAAAGAGACCTCAAAATTGTGTACTGGGGAGAGTGGATGAGAGAGAATGAGAGATTCGCGTGAATTGGAGAGAGAGATACAGAGAACTGAAATTCGTGTAAAATGCGGAGAGAGACCTGAAATCCGTGTGAGAGGGGAAGAAAGGGAGAGCTCTGAAATCCGAGTGTGTGTTTGTGTGTAAGAGAGAGAGAGCTTACATTCCGAAAGAGAGAGAACTGTAATTCGTGTAGAGAGAGTGTGTGTTTACATTCCGAAAGAGAGCGAACTGTAATGGGTGTAGACCTGTAATTGGTGTAGAGAGAGAGAGACCTGCAATCGTGTAGAGAGAGAGACCTGTAATTGGTGCAGAGAGAGACCTGAATCCGCGTCCTGCGAGCGAGCGCCAAGGAACAGTTTTGAAGAAGGGAAGAAAGAGAGAATACGGAGAGAAGGGGTCGCAATCGCTTTTATTGGCGCCTATTTATAGCAGCAGGGTCTCCGCATCGCTATCGACATAATCGGGAAAACATGGGATGGAATCCAATCGTTTAATTAAAACTTGGACGGATGAGATTCCCAGCTGAAAAACTTCCTAATTCGAATAGAACAAACGGGATATCAAACATTCGCATAGAAGAAATTAAATGCAACGAAAAACATTTTGTTTTAGAGAGAGAAAATTTTGGCTCTTTTGGAGATAGTGACTACCAATAGCCAAGGGTCTCTACAAATGGGCTTGGACCCCAGGTTCTCGCCTCACAGTGTTTCTTTGACTATAATTCAAGTTTCCTATTCCCATGTTGTTTCTTCTCTTCACCATTGAAAAATCTCTCTCTCTCTCT